GGGGGGGGGGGGGGGGGGGGGCTCCACCGCGCGGGTCGCGACGGGTGCGGCGTGGGGTGCACCCGTTGTTGCATGCACAGGTGGGGCCAAAAATGCTCGTGTCGCTTCTCGCGAGATTTGTTTTGTGGAGTTCCTGGGTTGACCTTGTTTCTCTAGTGCGGTCGGCTCCATGACCCTGTTAGGCCAGACGGCTTCGATGGGCAAATGTTGGGCACAATCAGTGCTGCAGTCTGCACTATAAGCGAATGAGCCAAATTAAGCATTAGGAGAACTTCATGAAAGCAACAAGTACAACCTCACGGCTCTGGCCTATGTAGAGAACAACCAGCACCACTGCTCTCAACGCTGCTGCAACCGAGAAGTGCGCATGATTCAACACGAGGACATAAGCTTCCTGGATGGACAGCCCGAACAGTGGTGGCGCAGCGGGGGGTTGGAACACATACCAGAATATGCCTGAGTAGCGAAAGCATGTAGACAGACATCCCCATTGTCTCCAAGAAAACCTTCCTACTGGTGTCTGGCTCGGACTCATTGCTCTCCGGCAAAGCCGTAAGGGCCATGCTGTCAGGAACGATTAAAAATCCATGGCCGAAGGCCAGGGGCCAGGAGAGCCGGCTGAGTAAAGAGGATTTTCCATCCTTTCGTCCTTTCCTCTCTCGGCCGTGTCCTTGAATTTTCAAGGCACATGATGGAGAAGCAAAGCAGTTGCGCCGGCACAATCTGGCCAATGAGCTTGCAGTATGTTCAACAGAGCGTTGGTGAGCAAGCCAAGCCGATTGTGTACCTTGAGAAGCACACAGTCTGCTCGTGTGCAGACAGAAGGAATGTTTTCAACAGATCGCCTGCTACGGTATGAACTTCCAGTGATCTGCTGTCCTAAACTGCGCTATACAGATAGTGCATCCTCTGCACCAGGCCGCTGTTGCGACGTTCAATGTGTGCCTGTGGGTTGCCTTCGGTGCTGATCGCCTGTGGGTGCTGTTTCCATCCGATCCTGTCACTCGTTTTTTATGCAATGCGAACCGTGCTACATTCTTAATTACTAGCTCATACCAGTCTGGCTTTGTGCGGCAGAGCCACAGCCCTGTCCTGCTTCAATTATCCATTAGCACCAGTCCAGGCAACTAGCAAGCAGTCCAAAAATATTTTAAAGCTCGAAGCTTCGAAACTCCTGCAGGTGGGGGGGGCACATGACTCAGACACTAGTAGTAGGGCACCCATCGAATCCCCTCGACTGCAAGTCTGCAGACTTCGAGACGCGAGAGCGAGAGAGAGCATCGGCAAGGTTGCTGGGTTTGAAAGGCAATACAGCATGGCGAATCATTCTGCATCTGTGGTGGTCAGGCCGTGGGGTCAGAGGTAGTCATCCAGACGCATGGGCGGCGTAGGTATATTGAAATTGACTGCACCCACCCGTTCTGGTGTCAACCCGCATGCGCCAATTAAGCTTTCGCTGCAGCAAGTCGCAAATGCTAGGGGCTGCCCGGCCGCCAGGCTTTCGCCAGGTTTCGGTCTGTTCCTCTAGGAAGGCTGACGAACGCTTGAAGATCATGCATGTGGCTGCAGCATGCCGTCGGTAGATGTCAGAAAGGACGGCAGCCAGCCAGCGAAGGACATCGAAGCCTTGGCCACCTGGAGCAAAGTTCGGATTTCAGCGAGTTTTGAATGATCAGCATTACATTGGGCCTGCGTTACTTTGCATAGGCGGTCGGGCTCCCAGGCCCAGCCTTGCTGAGACCTTCCCGTGGTCCACGGTGAGGCCTTTGGGACAAGGTTAGCCACGGCTCGTCAGTGGCCAGTGCTCTGCAAATCCGGGCAGACTCAGGTTCGCTCCCTTCCGCGCTCAACGCCCGTGGCGATGGTGACGGGCTGGAGCGATATAGAAAAGATTTCGCGAGAGAAGACTCGTCGCATTGTCATTTGTCAAGCGAGCTGATACTTCAAGCCTGAGGCCCACCATGTATGTACTGTATGTATGTATGTATTAGGTACGTATGCATGTATGTATGTACGTATGTATGCATGCATGTATGTATGTATGTATGTATGTATGTATGTATGTATGTATGTACGTAGCCGGGGTCTCGACAATCCCCCAAGCTCCGTGGAAGAAGACAGACAGAGCACAAGTGTGTTTAACCGTCTTGTTGCTTCTCAGTTTTCGGGCTCTGTACTTTGACGCGCTTCCGAGCTCTAATCATTTGAAGTTTACCTTGCAGAGTGTTCCTTCGGGCTTCCCATACAATGTGGGGGCGCCTTGAGCGTGGGGGTAGGGATTGCTCCCCCTCCCTTTACCCTTCTGCAAGAAAGAGTGGCAGAGAGACAGATAAACAGAGAGCGCAGAGACAGAGAGACAACCAGAGAGAGAGAGAGAAAGAGAGAGAGAGATAGAGAGAGCGAGACGGAGACAGACAGAGGGAGAAACATTCATGTATGCATTGCATACATTAAGACAAGCATATGGCAGACACACATGCCTGCTGTTTTTCGCATCTATCACCAGCTGACGAGGACGCATGAGGACGCTAGATCCAGAGTCATGCCTTGTTTGCAGGTGTCACGCTCTGGAGTTCAATCAGCGCTCTCCGCGGGGCTTAGTGCAGGCGCCTGCAAGAGTGATTTCATTCTTCTCTCCATCTTTCTCTGCGTTCCGTGTCCTCTCTCTCTTTGCAGTGCTGTGCAGTATTGCTACACATCGCTACAGATTTCGCATCATAACCAATGTGGAGCTGCGCTTGCGAGACAAGGACGTCTGCCTCTGATCCAAACGACGGTGGGATCGCTCACACGTTGCACTGCGAAGATGCAGCCGCATTTGTATCGTCGCTGTGCGTCCCACCACACTGCACATGTTCCCATTCACGTGATTTCATGCAGCGACGGCTGTCTCGCGTGCAGCATTGAATTGACATCGGCTTTTGGGGTTCCTATTGTAAGAGAAGCCCCCCACAAGGGGATCCACGATCCAAATTAAGAGTATCAGTGTGTTGCCTTCCTGTGTGTTTTCGATTTAGGGGCAATCAGTCGTTGCATCGCATTTTCGTAGCTGCAGGCGGCATGCGGGACCTGTTCGCACCAGTGCGCGCTGGATGCCCAGGGTGGTAAGTGTGGTCTGGCAGCGGACGCATGTAGGCAGGCGATAATATCATTGAAGCCCGATATATGCATGCAAGGCAGGAATCTCTTGAATAGATGCTGGCCTCCGACTCACACTCCGACGGCAGAGAACTGCGTTTAAGGGCTTCTATGAAATCACACTACTTTGGATAAGGTACTCAAGCCGATCACAACACGCAGCTTTTACATCCACGTGGCCATCAACGAATCCGAGCTTTCGTTCACAGAACTCATTCAGGGCTTGGCCACATAAATGGCTGTGCACATGGTGCGTTACATGGGGTCACGTGCTTAACGCGAGACATAAAAAAATCACACATATTTTTTTTTAATACGAGTGCTTTCATCAGGACCAAGCTCGAGGTCTTAAATGGCAACCGCTGATCGCAGTGCAAGCTGAGTCTAGCTGAAATTCAGAGCCCAGGTCATCCCGCCCGAGGACTCAGAGCCGGGCTCCGACTTGCTTGCAGCGGCTCACAGTGCGGCCGACGCGGCCAGAGGGGAGGGCTGAAGTGAACTGGGAAGACATGGATAATCGATAACGCACGAGCCAACACATCGGCGATGTCCACTCCGACTTTCACGTCAACGGGACCCGAATGAAGGCACACGACGTGGATAAACTGGACACACGGAGCACAAATTTTAAAAGAGCCTGAGGAGCAGACAGTTTAGTTTAATTGCTTCTAAATTTGAGCAAGCACTTTCGTGCCGGATCCTGTGCAGGTGTCTTCTGGTGCAGCTAGCAGCGCAGTGTCAGTGACGCTTGTCGGCACCAGCCCAGCAATCTTCTTGCTGTTCAGAGATGTTTTGCAGAAGCGGCAAGCTGCGGCAAGCCTACGACTGCACCAGGCGCGGCCATTTGGGAGACCTTTTTGTGCCCAACAAGGTGACGAGATGTGCATGGCTTGTGGCTGGTTGTGGGATGTTTTTTACATGCATACGAGCGGTCATGGCTGCTGATTCGTGCATAACTCTGGCAGAAGGCAAGCCATGAGATTTTGACAGCTCGTCAGTGGCCATTCTGCTTTACCATTCGTTCAGACATGAAAGGTATCTGGGCAAGTCAAAGAGCCAGTGGCCCCGCCGAAGCCCAGCGAGGCACTTGGGCAACATTGATGCAGTTGCTCTGCCGCCCTCGCTTTGTCGCTAGTCCTGAGTTGAATGCATGGGCCCTTGCGCGCTGTCATAACAATTGGGGAAGGCGGCACCGGTGAGAAGCGCCCCGTGCCCCTCACCCCGAAGCAAAGTTTTGCTGGCTTGGTCGTGGGTGCCTTCTTTCACGACAAGAGATGAGATGACCGGGGCACGGCAGGCAGCTGATGTTGCCCACCCACCCACCCACCCTGATTGGACTCGATCCCCCGTGGAGCCCCCGAGTCTTGTTCGGGGTTGCGCGTGTTTCGCAACTGACCTGGAGGTTGAGGGAGGGACCCTCATACCGGAGGGGTGTTCCCCCTTTGGGGGGAGATATGCTTGTTCGAAGGGTGTGAACCTTGTCGGCCATATCGTTACCGCGAGGTTTCTATCAAAGCACTATCCGGAGGTGCTCCGTGTTACCATCCAAGGTATCGGAGTGTCAGCAGCGGTGGTAGTGCGAACTCTGCTGTATCGTTCTGCAGTTCAAGTCGGAATGTACATTTATGTATTATATATATATATATGGTATCCCCCCCCCCCCAAAGATCCACCCGATTCTGTCTGTTTGGAGCTCTTCGTGTGCAATCCCTGCCTATTTG